GTAACCCCTGCCTCGATTTTTAAAAAAAGTCAAAAACAACTTTTTATAAGTATTAAAAAGTCATCCATGTAAGGTTAGAGTTAGGTTGCCCTAACTCAGCCCAACTTTGAAGCAGGGTTTACGGTCGGTAATCTTTCCAAATGGATATGGAGTGTCATCGTATCATGACAAACATATATACATTTATAAATTTTAAATGTCATATTAGGTTAGCAGAAAAAATATTGGGCAAGGCGTTTAAAGCCACCATTACGTATTTATTATGCCGAAATGTTTTCACTATCTGGTGGGGCGGTCGGATAGCCTTGTGGTTAAAGCGTTCGCTCGTCGCGCCGAAGAACCCGGGTTCGATTCCCGACATGGATATGATGTGTGAAGCCCATTTCTGGTGTCCCCCGCCGTGATATTGCTGGAATATTGCTAAAGCGGCGTAAAACCATACTCACTCACTATCTGGTATCTTTGTCGGACATGTCAAAATGAGAACTTGACAATTCCAACCGTTCACGTTAGGTTCAAAGGGAGACTACTCTTCAAACATTTGAGGCCAAATATTATTATTATTATTATTATTATATTATTATTATTATTATGACACCGTATACGGCAACTGAAGGTATCATAACTAACAATATACCACATACATACATGTGATGAATCTGATATACTTTAAAATTGTATTAGGGGGCACGGGTGGCCCAGTCGTCTGAGGCGCCGCGATTCGTTGTACTCACTTGAAGCGGTTTTAAACGAAACTCACTTACACATCTTGACATATACTACACAAAAATGTTAAGGACCATCCGATTCTTTCAAATTACCATATGAAATGACACATTACATGTAATAATAGCAATATGAAAGAATCGGATGTTCTTAAACATCTTTTGAGCAATATACTTCATTAAATATCTGCTGTTCCTCTTGCGGTGTATTAAAATATATGGTCATCATTTATTTTGTTTATATATTTTTTCATTAAACAAAACGCAAATGCAAAAAAAATGACATACAATCACCTGGTCCGTTCAATTTACTGTTTAAAAACAACCGTAAAGGCCATGTGTAACCTTCTCAGCTACTGCCAGGGTACAGCTTTGAGATTATGATTCAGTATTTGTATTTGGGGCCATTACTTATGAATCAGCCTTTAACATGAGTGACAGTAATGGGAGCTGTTGATATTTGTACATGCCCTTTGTAAGCAGGAGCGAACTCCCTTGGCGTCCATTCAGGAAGCACTCGGACTGGTCTTGTTTTAACCGACCCCACGGGGATTCCAGGGCAGAGCAGGATCTCAGTACCCCTGGCTAGTCCTTACAGCTGACCGACTGAGGATCGGAGGGTTAAAATATGTGAATGAGCTGATTGTATGTCATAGTGTCCCATTGGCCGATGCTCGTACTGTCAACCATTGGTTTTCTGGTTCACTCTTGATCATTTAAGGCCATCTATGTAGTTATATACTACTCAAAAGAAGTTGAAGAATGCCAGATTCTTTCATATTACCATAGTAATATGAAAGAATCGGGTGTTGGTTAACATGGGCCGATGCTCGTACTGTCAACCATTGGTTTGTCAGGTTCACACTTGATCATTTAAGGCCATCTATGTAGTTATATACTACTCAAAAGAAGTTGAAGAATGCCAGATTCTTTCATATTACCATAGTAATATGAAAGAATCGGGTGTTGGTTAACTTCTCGAGTATCAAAATGCATATATAGTTGCAGTATTGCTGAGTGAGGCATAATAATTAATTATTATTTTTGTTGAGTTAAAGCAACAAAATCGTTCAATAACCAAAAGAAATCTCAAACAAACAAATAAGACCGCTTTGTCACAGGAACGGGGCAGTACACATGGTTATTTCCGATTCAAACCCCTGTGATTGCAGCGTAAAAACCTACATTCACCAGTTACATTGTTTATTTTTATTGAATCTCAATATGCATTATTTGTACGAGACTATCTAAGGATAGCCGTACATAGACTTTGTATTGAATTTTGCTAATGACAACCTGTCAGTCTTGTCAACAAAGGCATGCTCCCCACGTGGGTAATCAGGAATCCGGTGTGCAGACTGCTCCGAGCTACCAATACACAACCAGTGCAAGTAAACAGCTGCATTGACAATGTGCATAACTGACAACCATCACACTTACAGACCACTCAGGCCTCAGCAGTGTAACAATTACAAAAACATTCAATCACATTTAGAGTTCCCGATAGTTCCTCGGGGCTAAAATATACAGTGTACATCAAAGTAAGCAAAGCGAAACGGCACCTTATATATATATATAATAAAGATAAAAACGATTTATGTAGAAGTATTTATGCTTGTAGATGTTCTCTACCGCCCGTCCCTTTTCCTAAAGCATAAAGAAATCAATTGCTCTAATACAATGCGGCAAACATGACAGTTCAGTTCTTGTAACAACTGTGTTGCACAGCATTAATGAATAGCATATCATAAATTGCACGGTATATACAATTGATTGTTTGTTGTAACTACAAGATTAACTAATATCACATAATCTCAATTTGTAGATTTATTATACTTCTAATATTAAAAAAAAATTATATTATAATTGTAAATATTTGTACATTATTGTAAATACTTAAACACCGTTATATGAAAGCTCCAAATGTAATAGTGAGTGAGTGAGTGAGTTTGGTTTTACGCCGCTTTTAGAAATATTCCAGCAATATCACGGCGAGGGACACCAGAAATGGGCTTCACACGTTGTACCAATGTCGGGGTTCGAACCCGGGTCTTCGGCGTGACGAGCGAACGCTTTAACCACTAGGCTACCTGACCGCCCCAGGTAATAAAGAAGTTCATCCATATTCATTATCCTTACTTTGTTGTTGGTTGGTTTGTTGATGAACGCCACACTCAGCAATATTCCAGCTATATGACGGCGGTCTGTAAATTATCGAGTCTGGACCAGACAATCCAGTGATTGACATCATGAGCATCCATCTACACATCAACCAAGTCAGCAAGTCTGACAACCCGATCCCATCAGTCGCCTCTTACGACAAGCACAGTCGTCTTTTACGGCAACCTTACTTCGTCCTGATCAAACGACTAAATGCCTCTCAAAGTAGTGTACGTCATACATACTACTCAAAGAGTGAGTGAGTGAGTGAGTGAGTGAGTGAGTTGTGCTTTACGTCGCTTTTAACAGTCTTCCGGTTAAAACACGGCGTGTCAGCTTAATGTGGGAGGAAAGCCCGAAGTGATGCAGGTCTTAGACGTTTACCACTTCGGTGAAACCCACGAGCACGGGTATGGTGCTGACAAACCTAGAAACACAATCGGGGCGAAGCGTGATTTGGACCCACAATCAAAGGTTTCTGGCGTGCCCAAGGGACGCAACTCTGCACGGCGTATCGCGGCGCCTTAAACGACTGGGCCACCCGTGCCCCCTACTACTCAAAGAAGTTAAAGAACAATAGATTCTTTCATATGACAGATTAACTACAGTAATATGAAAGAATCGTGTGTTCTTAACTGCTTTTGAGTAGCTTACAATAATAAGACTTTCAGGTTAAATGGGGGGCACGGGTGGCCCAGTCGTCTAAGCCGCCGCGATTCGCTGTGCAGGGTTGCGTTCCTTGGGCACGCCAGAATCCTATGATTGTGGGTTCGAATCCCGGTTCGCCCCGATTATGTTTCTGGGTTTGTCAGCACCATACCCGTGCTCGTGGCTTTCACCCAAGTGGTAAACGTCTGAGACCTGCATCACTTCGGGCTTTCCTCCCACATTAAGCTGACACGCCGCGATGTAACTGGAATACTGTTGAAAGCGGAGTTAAACCCTACTCACTCACTCACTCAGGTTAAAATATAGTGATTTGTTTGCACAGGTGCGCAATTACGGTATTTCATGCACATCAGATTGTATCAGAGTATTGTTATTAATGCCGATGCGCTGACTTGTGCAATAATGTACAACTCATGCATGTGTCATGCCCTCCTTCACAAATACGCGTGAGACGGCGAGATACGTGCACTTCTTATGACTGGATATTGCTTGAGGCATACACGAGTACTGTTACATCTATCTCCGACATAAGTGGTGATCTATTTCCTGACTAACACAGTGGGGTACACATTGCAAGGGGCATCTTAGACATACTGGCATTTAATCCATGAACGTAAATGTAGATAGCGATATTGCTATACCCATATTCAGCGGGACGAGGAATCTGCATGGCTTGGTCTTACATGGTGGGGCCCCCATCTGTCGTGTTTCAAATCGATCAGCTGTGATTGTGTAACTGTAATAAGTGGCCTGGTTTCTAAGTTTGGGGACGACGACAGCGGTTCTAAAGTCCAACGTAGGATTAAAAAAGGTTTGAGATAGTGTAAATCCACCGAACAGTTTTAATTTGTCGGACGGGAACATGAAAACTTGTTAAACCCACCCCTAAAACATCAGCACAAAACAAAACACGACAGAACTTAAAGAGCTAAGCTTTTCATCAGCACCAAACGAACTTTAAAAATGTTTTCGAAAGTCCATACGATAAAAATGCTGCTATGTGTAGCACAAGTACACAGGTTATCGCAATTTGGGGATATGTATGTGTTGTTATTGTTGTCTTATAACTATATGAATTAAGGGCTGTACAGTAAAATGCACTCGAACTGTCATAAAAGTGTCACAACTGTCATAAAACAGTCAGATCCCATTAAACGGTTAAATGTAGTTTTTACACCATGTGCGAAGGCACTGTCAAATGCACTTCTGTGATATGACAATCGAACCGACTTAATAGTATATTACGAGTATTATTATCATGTTTATCTAAGTACACAAAACACGTCCATATATATGATACGTGTACTGCATTTTATACACGAAAATAAAATATGATGTGAAAGTGTATATAAGTGTAAAACACGTGGGTAAATAGTACAAGTTACCACTCTGGAGAAAAAACGTGAGTTAAAAAAATCAATTCTGAATATTAATAAAATTACTAACCCTCCGTCCTTTAATGATCTTCTTACGTACACGAAAAACCAGGTCCAAATAAAGGAATGGATAGCCACAACTACTGGGAGAAATGTGGTGTAGAAACAGAGGCTATTGTCGCCCCACTGTGTGCTCTCAGTGTTCAGTAGTACGGATTTGTTTGGCGACACCTGCACGAAGATATCAGCGTTCAGGAGGCAGCTTGAATTGAAATACTTCCACACATATCCCAACGGCAGCAACACACACATGCTTAGAATCATAACTGCAACGTTGACAACGATTTGGCTCCATTTTAACACACGACGAATGTCCAACATGGTCGGAGACATAATACTGGTGATCTACCACCATTCACAATCTCAACATGGATTTGGCCCACCAGTTAGGGTTCAGAGGTCGGGTCATATCGTGACGTCACGTGTTTTATCACGTGACTTTTCAAGTAATCAAGGTATTTCCCAATGGCGAGGAGAACCATTAGGTGGTGTTACTTGTAGAACTATAGTTACATGTTTTAATCATGTGCCGCGCTATTGTAACCGCTGTAGGATAATTGCGATCGCACACTATGCCTTCAAATAGATAGTAAAATTATTCCTGGTCTACAGAAACACAATCAATTAACCAACGCGAAAGTACGTGTGTTCTACAGTTAAACCAGTTCCTGACGTAAGGTAATACGATACGGTGTTGAGTGAGGGAACAGCTCCGGACAGCGCTGGCGGGTTCGATACTATTTATTGGTGCGATGAACAGATAGGAGCGCTATGCGGAGTTTTCATCCCGAGCGTTTTCACAATATGCATTGTTCTGCGAAAGGATAATATAAACCGGTGATATATCGCTTTGCTCTCGCTGTGTGAAGCGAATCGCGGAAATATGGCGTTCCTTTCAGTTTCGATAGCTCACAATTCGGGAAGCTTTATACGGAAATCAAAGTTATAAGGTTGATCTCAATCGCATCTTCTGCATCCGGTACCTTTGGCATAGATTTATATGTAGGGGTATTGAAGATGTGAGGAATATCCCAGTGTTATCGTCCATGGGTTGTCTATGTTGTTTGTTTGTTGTTGTTTAACGCCGCACTCAGCATTGTTCCAGCTATATGGCGATGGTATGTAAATTATCGAGTCAAAACCATACAATCAAGTGATTGATATCATCAGCATCGATCCACGCAGTTGGAATATGATGACATGCATCAACTAAGTCCGCGAGCCTGACCACCCGATCCCGTTAGTCGCATCTTACGACAAGCATGGGTTGCTGAAGACCAGTTCTACCCCGGATCTTCACGGGTCGGGTTGTTTATGTTGTTATATGAACGTTGACCTTATACATATTCATATATTATATATATACAATATAAATCTTCTTTCCACAACTATGTTTATAAATCCACTGTCAGCAATGAATTATTTTTTTTAATCCAAGAAATAAAAAAAATGTGAAATACAATTTACAAGCAGGCAATGTTTGGTTTTTTTTAAATTAAAAAGTTATATTAATGGCATTCTCCCCGTGTTATATCCCAGTTTGATATACTAGGAGTTGTTTTCAGAATTTCTCGCCTTGACTGATAACTATGCACACATATTGCACAACGAAGTGATTATACATATGTCAAGGGCATTGTTTGGAACGTTCGTGCACCCACAGTGATAAAACCTCGTCTTAGTCGTGATAACATTCACAGGGGTGCGTATATCTGACTGTCCTCTGATCTGAGGGCGGATCGAGGAACACGTGCTCGTCTGGGACGTCTGATTCAGCATCTCGGGATGGTTTGCTATATCATCATCTTAAAAACACCTAGAGCTTGTTTGAATATATTGATTTGGAAATTATTGTTCATACATGACAGTTAGATTGAACAGATTGTTTATAAGTCAGTTCTGTTTGAATTTATTTAGAACATGTAAGACCACCTCCGCGATCAAGTGGATAGAGCGTCTGCCCGGAAAGCGGAAGGTCGGTTGTAAGATTCTCGACTGCGTCATACGTGAAAAGATGGCACTTGTTGTTACGCTGCCTGGAGCTCGGCATTTAGGTGCTAAAACAAGGACTGGTCGGCTCGGAGTCAGTACACTGTGATTGAGTAGGGTATCAATGTTAAACTGCGGTAAGGTATCTCAACTGACTAGCACTAGAAAATCGTCATTAGTCCGGACTAATACAAGCAGCAGCCACACACACAGACACACACTCGCGCGCGCACACACACGCACATACACATATGCGCGCGCATGCAAGTCGCTACATGAATGCAATAATTATTTGAATATAAATTATGTTATACACGGTAATGGCGTTCAATGCTCTTCTTGAACTAGGCTGATGCGAGCGCTAGACAAATAAGAAAGAGCAGCAGAGCAGCAGAGCTGCATAGTCCGTGCAGTCGATAGCAACAACGAAAGGGAGGAAGGTCGGCTGTGCGTTCGCTTGCCGCAGACCGATTGTTGCAGCATTAATTTCACGTGCACCGTATCACACCCCACTGTAGTTCCCTGTTCAATGCAAATGTATCCTTCCATTGCACACTGAACGCCTTCTGACCCAAAACGCGGTTCACGACGATTCGGCTAAAATTGTTCAGCATTTGTTTGGTACATTTTCTTGCACTTGGCATTTCTAAAGTTATTACTGTGATTATTCAAGACAAGTCGTATATTAAATATAGTATAGTTTTTGTTCGTGCCCGTGAGTTTGTGAGCGAATGCTGTTTAACGCCGCAAAATTCCAGTCATAACACGACAGCCTTTAAATCATCGAATCTGGAACAGGTAAACCAATGACTGATACTATGAACATCGAACATGACCATGATTTTAGCCTATACAGGCCACGTCACTTTGTTGATTGCGAGTCATCGGTCCCCGACGATTTATTTACAGGAAGCCTTCATATAGCTGGAATATTGCCGAGTGTGACTTAAAGCTTGCCGACAAATAAACAAACTGACCTTAAACTACATATTATTATCAGCCAATAACTAAAAGATTGATTAATCATCAATGTCTGCACCCATGGAAGGATGGGCTGTCTGAGGAAGCTTCTCACAGAAAACAATCGTGCACGTCTCTCGCCGGCTCCACTCCCCCGTGCCCCTGCACGTGCACTGACGGTAGTACACCACCACGCTGATTAGGTCATCGAACCGCAGTTACTGCTGTTACTGACGACGGTGTACCAGACTCCAGACAATGCATCAACTACTACTTTGATGTTGTTGCATCGATCTGATGTTCTGTCCAGATGATTAAGTGCTGATTTAGAACCCTCTCCTGGATCGTCAATCTATCACAGGCGGCAGATGTGTATATAAGGATGGCGTTGGGCCTTTTCCTGTATTATGAATTGATTTATAAAGGAAAATACATTTGAGGCGTCTGTCCGACATGCCATCAGAATAAACAATGCCCTCAATCTGCTGCTCAAGTCAGTCTTGAATGCCACTCTAAGTCGTTATCAGCTAATATGATAATTTTATAGCAGTCCTAGGAAATCGAAAGTTTATGTTTGTCCTGGGATTTATTGCTGTAAATACATGTATATCAGTTTTCACATCTACCCCAAGAGCAGAATATTTATGATAAACACTCATTTCGGGACAAGCCAATTCAGGTGACGGAAAGGAGCGAGTCGTAACGAATGCCTTCACACTCAGTATTTCTTCAGCAGTAAAATCAGCCATGCTGGCCGTGAGGATCGGGTTGTGAGTTATAAAAACAACTTAGGTTATTGGTGAGTGGGTGAGTTTGGTTTAACGCCGCTGTTAACAGTATTCCAGTTATGTCACGGTGTGTCAGCTTAATGTTGGAGGAAAGCCCGATGTGATGCAGGTCTCAACTTAGGTTATGTGATAATGTATATACATATCACATGTAAATTCATATGTACACATGTGTGGAATATAATATGTATATATGTGTGTGTGTTTTCCCATCTAGCCCTAGGGGCGACTGTACATCTGTGAGGAATGAGTAATTATAGGTTCTACTACACTAAATCAGAACTGGTTGTGAGCCTTCAGTACAGATCAAGAGACATATGCAGGCTGTGATTGGATGATATTGTATAAGTTTTGTATGTCTTTTAAATGCACATCCATCCAGTAATTAAAACTGCCTATATTTTTCAATATTTGGTGCTGACTTTTTGAACAAGATGACTTGTGCTTTATGTGAGCACAGATATTTTCAAGCAGGTGATATTTGGTGCGGAACTGGGGTTGGTGTGTTCAGCTTCCTGTACTCGGAAAAGGAGCTGGGTAACCTAGCCAAAATTTGTGTTTTTATTGCAACTTTAAGGCCAGACTGTGCACATATGTAAATATAATGGCTGTTGAATGCCTAGTTATTTTTTAAAAAAGCTATAGCGTTACTATAGAAGTCCATGGGAAAACATTTGGTTGTGTGTAACCTGTATATACGTCCATCGCCAACGCCATCTCGCAACTGTCACAACGTCCATTATATTGTTTGGCTCCAGATGGAAACACCACAACACTGACTTTGTAATTTTATTTAAGTTTAATTCAGATGTATATATGGTATATTTACAAATAAAATGTTGTTTTTATTTACACAACCAGCTATATATATTACATTCATAACATGTAATTTAGTATCCCAATGACAATATATTTGGTCGAATTTGGGTGATATTTACAAGATGACCCTATGTAAGTATTCACAATATAGGTGTATTTACAAACTCTTCTCAGAAAATACGCTTTTATCTTCAGTTCTGTATCCATGACAACGCATCTACTCCAACCTGTAGGAACAGTCACTCAGAAAGTTGGTCACGTGACAGACAAGTCCAAAAACCTTAATGAGAAATTACCTGTGACTTCTTGGCCTCTGTTCTTTTTGTTTCCTTGGTTTCAAAGCTGCCTTTTTCTCAGTTTCTGTCACTGAAAATATACCAGATGAAGTTTTTTAAACTGTGCAGGAACAATCTACAATCTGCACGGACAAGGTAGACAGAGTGGACGGAGAACAGCCTGGGCAGAATGGGCAGACCGTGAAACACCCCTGCAGAGATGCGCCAACACTGCTCTGGCTTCGTGTGTCATACATTTTGAGTGAGTGATTGAGTTTGGATAAACACCGAAACAGTGTTTCAATTACAGCACGAAGTGTTAGCATGATATGGAAATATTAAATGTCAACGCCAGAGAATAGCCTCTGTTGATTATCCGACGAAATAGATTCCATTGGCACAAGGCAAAAGAGCGGCGCAAATTTAATATGAATGGATCACTGAAAATCAGTAATGACATCAGGTGTTGGCGAAAAGGGTAAGGAGAAACGCCGGAGTGCCGGAGTGCCGGAGTCCCGGAGTGCCGGAGTGCCGGAGTCCCGGAGTGAAGCAGATAGTGAGTGAGTGAGTGAGTATGGTTTTACGCCGCTTTTAGCAATATTCCAGCAATATCACGGCGGGGGACACCAGAAATGGGCTTCACACATTGTACCCATGTCGGGAATCGAACCCGGGTCTTTGGCGTGACGAGGGAACGCTTTAACCACTAGGCTACCCGACCGCCCCGTGAAGCCGATAAGGCGTTCACCACTATGATAATATTGAATAATGTTGTTCAACCTCTGGCCGTTCACTGGGGTCAGGCTTTTAAGCCGATTTTACCAGTAGTTCTCCATTCACCAAAGTAAAACAAGTTTGACTTAGAAGAAAGTAATGAAAACCTGTTTCATGAACTAGTGATAAGTTTGTTTGTTTGTTGTTTAACACCACACTCAGCAATATTCCAGCTGTATGACGGCAGTTTGCAAATAATCGAGTCTGAGCCAGTCAATCCAGTGATTGACATCATGCGCATCGATCCACACAATTGTGGTACGATGACATGCATAAACCAAGTCAGCAAGTCTGACCACCCGATCCCGTTAGTCGCCTCTTACGACAAGCATGGCTTGCTGAAGATCAGTTCTAACCCATAATCTTCACGGGGCGAACTAGTGATTGGATGACACAGGACATGTTTGTTTTCTTTGCTTAATTTGAAAGGAAAGCCAAACGTGACGCACACCTTTGAAACGGACCAGCACGGTTGTGGTGCTGAAGAACATAGGTTCATACTCAGACCCAAATTGGCACGTGAACCCACGATCAGCGGATCCTGACAAACTCAAGGGATTTATAACTCTGCAGTGCAAATTAGAGCACTTGACCATCAACCCCTCTTTTATAAAAAAGCAGATGAATAAATCAACATATCTGTACTTACTGACAAATGGTTTAATGTTTGTCTCCTGTCGTGACTGCCAGCTAGACACCACGTGACTCATCTCCGAGGTCACAAGGTCATCCCAGTTCTCCGCGACATCATAGAACTTGGCCATGTCGAGCGTCTCCACTAGGATGATGGCGGAGTGGGTCAAGGTGGAAAATGGCGTGTTCCAGTGTGCCCGGATGGAGAGCAGCTCGCAGTTGCTTGAGATGAATCTGTTGGCACATTCCTCCCATCTCTTCACCTTCCTCGTTTCCACGTCGACGACCGCCCACTTACACTGGTAGTCACGGTGGACGTCCAGCAGAGTAGTTGCCTGAAGAAAAACATGGAATGAATTATTAGGAATATTTAGGGATTTCTAACTGAAATCGGAATATATCTAAAATATGAATACGATTGTAGCTCTTAAGGGAAATGAATTTGAGGGTAACGTATATCATTATCATGTTACGCTTGGAAATACATCTGAGCTCAATAGATTTTTATGCATTTTGTATAATTATGAAGAAAATTTCTTTTCAAATACCACGCGAGGTTATGGAGTCTCCAAATTATGTGTTGTAAATATCTCGTAGCCGTCATGACTATAGAACAAACCTATTAATATTGCTGCACTAATCTACCTACCCGCCAGTGGCCAGATTCTCCGGGTACTCGTGAACCATCAATGCTTTCTTGGACTTTCTTTCTTTTCCAAGACATGGCTCCGAGCCTACAACAGCGAGAGCTTCCCCTGCCTCACAGTGGTAGTGAGTTTCCAGCTTCAGGGCGCAGGTCCGGGAGACAAAATCGTTGGGGTCCCGCCCCCACGATTCATGTATCACCCCTTCGAGGTAGGATAGTCGCGTCCTGAAATACGAGATCAAGTTCATTCCAATAGACTTAGGCCACAACAAACTGATTATCTGTTTGTCACCGTATTTTATCAACTATTCTTTTATCCTAGTCTAATCTAATTCCAAGAAAAGAACCCGTAAAGATCCGGGGTAGAGTAGGTCTTCAGTAACCCTTCTTGCTGTGAAAGGCGACAATGCTTGTCGTAAGATGCGACTCACGGGATCGAGTGATCAGGCTCGCTGACTTGGTTAATTGATGCATGTCAACGTGCCCCAATTGCGTGGATCGATACTCATGATGTCAACCACTGGATTGTCTGGTCCAGACTCAATTATTTACAGACCGCCGTCACATAGTTTGACTATTGCTGAGTGCGGCATTAAACAACAAACCAATCCAAACGAAATCAAAGAAAAGTTACTTGCTTCGTGTGAACTTCTTCAAATCAGGGTTTTCTTAGATTCGAAAATGAAGCATACAATTGACGCTTTTGAGGCAGATGCAGATGCAGAGAATTAATTTCTTTTACCTTCTGTTTGTGCGGGGTCCCAGAAGAGGACTTTCTTGTTATCAGTCACAAGCCACGACCATTTGAAGGACGAGGACACCGGAAGTTCAGCTGTGACTTCCCACACATCAGTTTCAGAAGAGGACGGTTTGGCAATAAGCTGTTTTTCAAGTTTCCACCGACCTTGTCTACGGATAGAGCCGAGGAGAGCAGCCTTTCTTCCGCCCTCTTCGTCTTTAAGACATCTTTCGACCATTGTCTGGTAGATGGTACAGCTTGAATACGACCTTCACCAAGTCCGGAGCCATGTTCAACTCACGTGTGGATACGTTTCCGAACTTCAGGGTGCAAATAGCGAGAGACGGATTTCTGTGACTTGACGCAAGCGCTGTGTCTCCAGGAATGAGAGTAACTAAAGGTATGATTGTGACGTCATAGACAGGGTCACGTGACGTTATTGGCAATGTATTGGCCATCATGACGTCATGTAAAGGACCACGTGACGTTGGTGTCACATCTTGCCCATTATGACGCAGAAGACAATGGAATTTCCGTATTTCTATTAGTTCCAGTAGTGAACATAGAATAATTAAATTTTCGTTGTATTCATGGAAATTCCTGCACTCTGATTAGCTGAATTGGTAACGTGTTATTGCACTCTCCTACCCAGAGTTCCATGCGGCCGGCAGCCAGCTAGCATAGTACCTCTGCCACAGGCCAGCGCCATGTGACGATTCGTCACATCTTTCAAAGTCCATTCAAGATATTGCATATGCTTTTCATCCGTTTCATTTTTGACAAGTTTACACATTTTCATAAACAAATGTCAAAGAACGGTTACGGTTCTTTAAGAAAGTATCCTAAAACGTGAACATCTACTTGTTTCTGCGTAGTTATCCTTTGTTTACATTGGTTGTACGGCTCCACGTGCTGTCATCGAAGCCCAACAGAGAGCTAGCGATACGGTCACTTTGAGGTATAAATATATTTTATCATGCAAGTCACTGTCGCAGCTGTAGTAGCATATTTATATAATTATGCAAAACAATATGTAAAGCGCCCCCAAATACTTGCATTAGTCCGTTCTATACTGATTTCTGAAAAAGCGCGTTTGTTTACAAACAAGAGAAAAGTCCGGTCACGTGATATGTAAATTAGCCTGTGGCAGTGGTGTTATGCTGAGTCACCACTGCGACGGAGTGTGGTGTTATTGCATTCATTTCCAAATGAATGTAAAAAAATAAGCCACGCCCGCCGCGGCGCACTACTTTTATTACTGCGGAATGTCGGGGAATCCCAATATTACAGTCGAGGGAATTCCCTTTCTGCTCATGTGTATCGTCATGCACGGGACATTTAGCGACTATCATGCATATTCATTGTCCAAACTACCCTTTGAGAGGCCGAGAATGAATGAAACAGCAAACGTGCAGGCTCGCTCGCCTGTTTTTTTCCCGCTCGCTTCGGTTCAACTTTCATGTCTTCGGGTTTCATTTCTAACTAGCATTTCTCCAGCTGTGTTTTACCGTAATCAGGGAAGTAATGTTTGGATCACGCAGTAAATGACCATGTTATTAGAAACAGCCGCCTTCTCTCGGACATATTTTTGTTCCGGTTCGTTACAGTCTGACTGTTGCAGTTCTTTTCGCCTCTTGCCTTAATTGACAGGTCAAATAAACATTGTTTTAATCCCACTCTCCGTTGATTGGCTACTGACTGTGTAGGCGTGTCAAGTTATGTGCATAAATTAAACGATCACCTGATTCATGTCACGCCACTGTATGTATTCCTGTATGTATGTGTTTATCAATATCGTCATTTTTGTCTGTTTTGATATATGCAACTGTTTTGGGTTAAGCTATTGTAGATAAAACATGTTTTACGTTGTCGAATTTAATTATAAGCATTGACTGTATATTTTTTTCGGTTCATTGAGGTATGAATCGAAAAACCGATGTGCAAACTTTTGTAAGAATCCGCTACGCGGATTCATACAGTTTGCACATCGGTTTTTCGATTCATACCTCAATGAACCGAAAAAAATACACAGTCAATCCTTAAATGATTGACACCATGCACGATGTTAGTAGCCAGGGTCAATGTTCCATTCAGCTTTGAATCACTTTCACAACTCTACCTATTGTGATCTTCGTTTTCGGATTACCGATGCATCGATGATTTAATGTACAAATCCAATACGATGATTTGTACAGTCATTTCCGTTCCTAAAATTGAAACAAAATACTCCGTTGTCTCTTGTTTAGCACCGAATGGAGGCTCCAGGCATTTACATATTTCGTTCCATCTCGCATCGCTCACAACCCGTGTCGAGCAAAAGACAGTATGCCCCCATGTTTGACGTTGACCGGAAATGAAACAGACGAGAAATGGTTATTCGATGGTGATGTATTTGATACGGGTATCATAAGTTGTGTTTTGGACGTTAAGTTTGAAGTGGTTTGGCGACTGTTTTCAGCCTCGTAACGTTTTGATAACGTTTGTAATATTTAGGTCAAATCGATTTTCAAGTGTATACTTTCTTTTGTCCGGGAGTTTATGTTTCCAGCTGTGTAGTTAAAGGGTTTTACTGCATACTAATATCAAGAGGAACGTCATATGTTTATTCCATGGAATCAATATTGGAAAGGGCAACTGTGTTTGAAGTGTTAAACTATATCACGACGCACGCAGCCACGAAACTTTCCGGACAGTGAGAAGGAAGACTGATCGATTTACTTGTAAATGCCTATATTTATTTGAGGGGAGAAGCCAAGTACTTCAATCAATCATTTTTTAGACTTGTGTGCATACTCAACTATATTTCTGGATATGCCTAGCTTACTGAAATGATGGCACTGCAAAAATATCAATATTTCCTGCATCTAAATTCTGGGATTTAGATTTCAGCGTCCGATGGGAACAATTGATCAATGGAACTTTCCCTTCCTTCTATATTCTGTTCCAATCTTCAATATACATTCCCGAGGCAAGGGAGTTAACTAGACTTTTATGGCCAGTTGACTCCCTTGCCTCGGGAAGATGTCTTCAATAGGGGTGAAGGTGTGTTCTCAATGCGTGTATGTATGGGAAGCCGGCTGTACTAGAGTTGTTTGATTCAGAGGGTGAGTGATAGGTTGTTTATGTTAACAAGGCGGGTTTAACGCCGCTTTGAACAGTATTTAGCGGTTACATATCATGAGTAGTATCATTTTAGTATATATAGGAGGAAGTTATGGAGGTTGTAGACATTTAAAGCTACGGTTAAGCCCACAAACGCGGCTATGGTGTAAACAAATACTCATAATCAGGGCAACATATGTGGACTCGAACCATTGATTATAAGATTCTGGCACACCTAAGGGACGCAACTCCACTGCGAATTGCAGCATCTTGGTCACCGTACCCGCTTTTGAAACAGCAGGAATGTACTTATGCGGCGTTCGTTGAAGTGAAGGATAGAAAAAACATCAGATATACGTTACAGATCTAGACAATTACATACTTTACTATGTTCTTTATGTTCACTGACCCGTGAAGATCCGACTAGTGAGTGAGTGAGTATGGTTTTACGCCGCTTTTAGCAATATTCCAGCAATATCACGGCGGGGGACACCAGAAATGTGCTTCACACATTGTACCCATGTCGGGAATCGAACCCGGGTCTTCGGCGTGACGAGCGAACGCTTTAACCACTAGGCTACCCGACCGCCCCGAAGATCCGACTAGGTTGTAAGAGTCGAATAAGTTTGTCGTAAGAGGCGGCTAAGGGGATCGGGTGGTCCGGCTCGCTGACTTGGTTGATGCATGTCATCGTTTCCCGATTGCGGGGATCGATGCTTATGATGTCAATCACTGGATTGTCTTGTCCAGACTCGATTATTTACAGACCGCTGTCATATAGGTGGAATATTTCTATAGTGCGGCGTTAACAACAAACAAAAGATGGGAGCTGTTTTTTCCTGTCAAGTTCCCTCTGTGAATTGTAACGAGTTCTGCTGTTTGTTACAATTTAACCTCGCGTGGTTTGAAGAAGCAAAATCTATTTAACAAAATGAATTAGTTCCGTCTTTCCTTTCGTAATAAGCCGACACACCGTTATATCAATGAATTAAACTGAGCGGCAAAAGAAAGGAAAGTTGTTTTTTGTATTTTATGTAATTAAAAGTTTAAAGAACTGTTGTTAGACTTGATTATGTCTATTCAACCATCACTCATTCCTGCAACAGTTTGTAAACAGTAATCTGTGGCTGGGTAATTTTGTGTAAAAATAAATTGGTTCAATGAAGACTGGGGTAAGAAATGCAATTTCAACCACATGACCCCTACCATGTTTGAAATGTAAATTTGTGCCGAACAAATCAAATTTGTTGATTTTCAAAGATAGGATGTACAAGATACCATCAACATTTGTTTGTTATATATTTTCAATTTTTACATCAAATTGAAAAGTTTTACATCACATTACATTAATAAAATACAAGTAGAAGTATTCTTTGAGTGCTGACTAAGCGCCAGTTCGCTCTATTTTTAGAATAGAATATCGCTCAAGATATTTTCATTTGAAAATCAAATACATGTATATGATAAAATCAACTGAGAGATATATTAGGTTTTTGTACCGTCAATTTATATTTACTTTTCGAACCAAGCTTGTCCATGATCACTCGTAATCTCGGAGTGCATAAATGTTAACAGTGTAGTAATTATTGTGAAGGTCTGTCTCAAAACCAACTTTGAAAAATATACACGGTCCCCTCATATCAAGAAGTCGACCTTTGTACTCATTCGTGGCCAACTCGTGTCATTCCGGGACAAGTCGAATCAGGTGACGGAAAGGGTCGAGTCGTGACGAATGCCTTCAAACAAAGTATGTATTCAGCAGTAAAATCACCAATTAATCCATGCTTGTCGTAAGGATCGGGTTGTCAGTTTTAATTAATGGGGGTTTGATAAAGTACGATAAATATAAAGTTCGTTTGTTTAACGCCGCGCTCAGCTATTATATGACAGCGGTCTGTAAATAATCGAGCCTGGACCAGACAATCCAATGAATAAAACCATGAGCATCGATCCACGCAGTTGGGATACGATGACATGCATCAACGAGCCTGACCACCCGATGACGTTAGTTGCCTCTTACTACAGGCATAGTCGCCTTTTAAAGCAAGCATGGGTTGCTGAAATCCTATTCTAACCCGGATCTTCACGGGTCCCATCTGAAGATTCACGTTAGAAGCAGTTACAATGAATCAGGTAAGTGTGGCATTTGTAACCTGTGTAACATCCCATGTAATGTGATTAAGATAATCGATATTCAAGATATCTTGACATGTAGAGGTGTTTTGGAAGCGAGGTGGAAGTGATTCCCGGAGTTGACGCCGATGCGT